ATCTCACCCACAGAAAGACCAGGCCCAGCATCCAGGAGCAAGGGATGGAAGGGCGGGGAGCCAGCTGGAGGTAGCCATGGCCCTGTGGCCAACCAGGGCTCACTGGATGGCTCAGGCCTACGGTAAAGAGGATGTGGGCTTCCGTCCCTGTGTGCTGCCTGTGCGCTCACCAGAGTCACTTGTGGGTTGAGACCATGGGACCCCGCTCCACTGTCCCAGGCCCGCACCTCCCCACTCCCTATTAGCACAGAGCAGAGGGGATTCATCTCCCAGCAAGGACAAGAACATCGGCTCCTGTAGGCAGTGTGGCCCTGAGCTCATCATGCCCTCTCCTATTCCTGTGTGCCTCCCTGAAGGGCCCCAGGACATACAAGTAGGGCCAAGTTCCAGGCGTCCGTCCCCAAGGCCAGCTCTCCCTTCTCTGTGGCGGATGGGAAGGTGAGGGCGGGATAAGGGTACGACCAGCCAAACCCCTGGTGGAGGGTGGGACCGAGGGACACTCCTGACCTGGGGTGAGTGTATGTGAGCTCGGAGTCTCCCTGTGGGGATGCATATGTACAGATGTGTATTTGTGTGGCACCTGTGTGCATGTGTGTGTGCGTGTGTGTGTGCGCCACTCACCTTGAACACATGCATAGGTCTGTGGGCCGAGGTGGCTGGCAGCTCCCACCTCTGCTGCCCCGTCCCTGCTTCTCCGAGCGAACACCCCTCGCCTATCTTGGTTAAGGCCGTTCCAAAGCTTGCTGCGGTCCTTGTGGGGCTCTGCCCTCTAGTTGCCCACAGAATTGTCCCTGCCTGCATCCTGCTGTCCCTGGGTCTGCTGACTGTACCCTCCTGGGCCTGGGCCCGAGCCCAGTCCATTTCCCCACCGTTCCATTCATAAAAGAACAAAGATATAATTATGGTGGCATTTGCCTTTTCTGTCCCTGATTCCAGGCCTGTTGCTGGGTGCACAGGCTACCTGGGAATTTCAGAAGCAGCTTCTGGGAGCAGCCTGGGGCAGATGGTGTGGTGCTATCCACAGTGCCCATCCTGTCCTAGGTCACCCAGGCTCGGCACCCTTGGCTCTCTGCAGCCCTTGGCTCAGGTCTGAGCTGTCCGCACACCCTGTCCACCCTCCTGGGGTGCTGCCCAGGCTACCACCTGGCCCTGCCAACCTCACCCGAGCCAGCCAGTGCCTCTTAGCCATCTCTGAGCCTCTCACCGAGCTGAGCTGGGGTGTCCCACTGGATCCCCAAGCTGCCCCGAAGCCCCCCACCCCATTCCCAGTCAGCGGTGGGATGGGGCGCCGTGCTGAGCACAGGTTCCAGCGGGGTCACCTGGAGACCCAGCCCTGTGTGGAGCACCCCTCTGTGAGGTGCCCTACTTGAGATCTGTGTCCGACGCGTGGGTTCATCTCGCCACCCAAGGGCCCCAGAGACCCATGGAACTCACCTGTCCACACCCCAGGACTCTTGAGGACCTGAGACCCGGGAGCCTGGCCCTAGCTGAGGGTCCCCTCACCTCCCGGGGAGATGCCTGCAGTCCCAAGGCCTCTTCCGGTTGCCCCCCAGGTGTGTGGAGTGCGAAAGGTGTTGCAGGACAAGGGAACCTTGGACTCCAGGTCTAGGGAGTCGAGGGCAGAGCTGGCAGCCAGCCTAGGGTCCCGGGAGGGATGTCGGTCTCTTGGGCCACAGTGGCCACCAAGACTGTAGGCAGCCAGGGGAGACTTGAGCAGGGTGTGCAGGGTGGGTTTGGGGTATAGGAAATGGGGTGAGGATTGCCAGGAGTTGGGGTACAGGGGGGCAAGTCCCAGAATCAAGGACAGGTGGTGCTTCTTTCCAGATGGGGGCACAGCCAGAGGACGCCCTGACAGGGCGTGACTCAGAGCAGATGGTACAGTGGGTGGAGCCCTGTCCTCAGGCTGGTAGGGACTGGCTCATCCATGTGTACCTTGGGCCCAATTCTGGGGTGGAGAAACTGAGGCACAGAGGATAGACAGGGACCCAGATCCAGGCAGCGCTGCCTCTGTGGAGTGGGAGGAGCTGGGTGCAGGGATGAGGCTGGGCTTGGCAGGGACAGGTGGCTCGGGTACAGCCAGATGGAGAGGCAGGGGTGGGAGCCCAGGGTCCTCTCTGGAGCATCAGGCTGGGGACTATGATCCCGCCTGGAAGGACCTGGATGGAGGTCTGAGGTGATGAGGCCAGAGGGCCAGAGGTCTCTGGGCTCTGGCGGGGGCAGGGGACAGAGGCAGCACCTCTGTGTGCTTGCCTGGCCCCAATACTCCCTGTGTCCCTCCTTGGCACAGTGGACATGGGGCCTGGACTGCAGTGTCTATCCCGTCCTGGAGGGCCAGGCATTCAGCAGCCTCAGCCAGCCACAAGGCTGCCCAGCCAGACGGCCTCCCCCAGGGAGAACACAGGAGCCTTCAATCAGCCCTGCCCCCCTGGACAGCTGAGGTGACCTCAGGATCCTGTTAGAAATCCACACTGCCCTGAACCCCAGCCCAGAGGCTGGCATAGCCCGGGCACTCCTGAAGCCCAGAGCAGCAGGAGGCCACAGCCTGGTGTCTGGCCTTCAGAATGCCATGTCCTACGGAGAGGGCCGGGTGTGGTACAGGAGCCAATGCTGTGACCTTGGCCTTGGCTTGGCCTTTGGACTCCCAGGGCCACGTCACCCAGACACTGGGCAAGGAGGCCTGCTGTCCGCTGGCCCCAGGGGTGGCGGTGCTTGTGACACTGTGTCCACATCTGTCCTGACCCTGAGTAGCCCCGGGTCACCAGGCAGAGGCGCCAGCCATGCCAGGAGGCAGAGCTTGGGCAAGAGCCACCCTGCTCCGCCGGGCCAGGGACGTGTACCAGGACTGCTGTGTTACCTCCTGCCCAGCCCTCATGTGCGAGGCCTCAGCCAGCTGTGGCCAGATGTACGGCTGCTTCCCCCACACACAGAAAGCACCAACCACCAGATGAATGTCGGCTGAACCACCTCTGCGGCAGGAACGCGGTCACTCGTCCGGGGTGACGTGATGGCTGAGGGGCCCTTGTGGAGGTCTGCAGCATCCAAGCCAGTCCTGGCAATGCCCCCTGTGCCCAGCGCCTCTCCGCCTCTTCTTGCTTTCCGGAGTCCATGCTGAGCATAGAGCTCAGGCCCCCGTGGCCTCGGCTGCCCGCCCTCCCTTTCTGCCCATGCTGTTCATCGCTGTCACGATGCCCTTCCTGCCTTGCTGCCAGGGACCCCAGCTCTAACCCTGCCATGGGGACTCTTAGCGGCCCCCACCCACCCGTGGCCTCCAGACCATGCCTGTCGGGAACTTCCCGCCTGTGGGCCCCATGCCTGCTTCCCTCACCTCTGCACCCTGCCCTACCTGTTCCTCCTCCCTGGGGATGTGGGTCAGTGGTCCCCTGGCCGCGACCTGCAGGAATCCCTCCCTGACCCGAGCCAGGAGGTCAAAGCCCTCTGGTCACCTGTGCAGCCGATGCTGTGATTCCTGCCAGGCAGACAGAACTTCCTTTGCTGGGGGAAAGGGAGGGGACACCCAAGTTGTGCAGGACATATTGGGCCAGCACAGCTCCCTAGTGCACTTGCTATTTTGTGTGTGACCCTGGGCTGCGTCTTCCCACAGGTCAATGTGCACAGCTGTGAAACAGTGAGCTGCCCTGAGCTGATGGTGACATGTGCTGAGGACCAACATGCTTGCAAGGACACTTCTGGGCCTGACTGTCACTCAACTGCTGTGACCTTGGGTTGACCGCACCAGCCTGTCCCTGGCTATGAAGGGACGGAAGGAGCTGGGACTGGACACACCACCAAGCCAGGCCCACAGAAGCGGGGAGCTCCCGGGCCAGCCCCATGGGCAGGTGGCCTGAACGGGGGGGTTACAGGGAGGCAGGGGCAGCACCGGGGGGCACAGCCCACTCCCACTCTCCCTCTGCCACCCCCTGGGAAACTCGCACAGGCCCAGGACTCATCACTGCCAGCCCAGCTGTCCTCAGAGCTGGCGTGGGGCCAGGCCAAGGCTAGAGCATCTCCTCCTGCCCTCTGTCCCCTGCTCTGCACAGTGGGGGCCGCTGGACCCTGCCGTGCCTGGCCAGGATCTCGGCAGGCATGAGGATACTCTTGTGGGGCCTAGGCCACCACAGGTCACCCCAGCACCTCACCCCTCCTGGGTCTTGTTCTCCATTCCTCTCCCCTCTCCACCCAGGAAATCTTCACCAAACACCACCTGCCCCAGCACCCTGTTGAGCCTTGGCCTTGCCCGGTTCAAAGGGGCCCCCTCTGTCACCGATTCCAGGGCAGGCCGATCCTTGTAGGGTCACAGAGCCAGGGAGCAAAGACGAGAAGTCAGCAGGCCACCTGGCCAGAGCCTGGGGACCCCAGGGTCACTTGAGAAGAGGTCTTGGCTGTCCCTTCAGCTGAGGTTACTCCAGCCTGGTCCCACTGCCCATTATGGCCAACGCCAGGGAGGGTGGTGTCTTAGGCATGTTCTTGTCACTGAGATGCAATACGGACACCGAAATTTAAGGGAGGAGTGGTTTATTTTGGCTCACGTTGCCGTCCATGGCCAGCTGCCTCCGAGGCAAGGCGAGCTGCTCTGGGCGGGGCAGGCACGAAGCAGAGCCCAAGGGAGGAGCAGGAGGGGGTGGGGCAGCGTTCAAGGCCACGCCCTCTGCGACGTCTCTTCGATCAGACCCCGCCCCCCAGCTCCTCGGCTCCGAGT